TATTCAGAAATAGTTCAACATGCTCCGGGGACGTTTTTGTTGGGACTTTTTTTAAAGTTTTTTTTTGTGATTTTGTTTGAGTATTTCTCATTTTTCGTCCAAAATCCGCCTGTAGGAGGACATGCCCGACCTAAGACTAGCGTTCGACTAGTGTAGCCCTCGAGCCCTTGTGCCATGCAGGCCAGTCTGCTCCGAGGCTGGAAGTCTAGCGGGGACCCCGCCCCAAGGGGAGCCTCCAAAGGCCCCCGACACTCCGCACACATACCTGCAGTGCTCTCACCTCCTGAGCGCTTCCCTCGCCATCCCCCTCATCGGCTGAAGTGTGTGTGTGTGTGTTGCTTTTTGATCACCTGTTGCGTTTGGCCGACCTTGGGGCCTACCAGCGCGTGCACATGCACCGCGATGGCCTGTAGTCCCAGACCCCCGACGTAGCGATTTTTTCACAGCGTGGATCCCTTGACGTCGCGACCTATGCCGTGGGACCGGCTTTTCATACCCAGTCGTGTCTTCACGGTCCTGGGGCCCTGCGAGGCGGGAAGTGGAGATCAATTTCCCGTCGTGCTTTTTTCGCGACTCGAGTGCGTGACTGCCTACACCGTGATGACCTGCAGCCAAAGGCCTGGCCCCGGACCCGTTACCCCAAGGTCGGCTCTTCATCCCAAATCGTTTCTTTGACGGTCCCGGGGCCCGGCGAGGGCCCCCAGCGTTTGAGAACTGCGAAAGACCTCCGCGTTACAGTGGTCAGCAAGCGAAGAACGGTATACAATAAATTTTCCGCCGTCGGAGACACCTGCCCCTGGGCGGCTGGAAAGTTTATACCTCTACGGTGCCACCGTAAGGGTATAAACTTTCCAGCCGCCCTGGGACAGGCGCCCCCGACAGCGAAAAAGTTAATTTTACACCGTTCTTCGCCCGTTACAGTGGGGCCGCGCAGGAGGAGACCGCCCGCTTCTCGTGCGGGGTGCCCGGGGTTTCTCCGCCCCCGCGGGCTGCGCGGTGCCCTCCCGCGGCCGCCGCAGGAGCTGCGGCGTGTGCCGTGCGCTCCGGGCGTCCTCCCCACGCAGGTCTTCGGGGCCAGGTCTCCTTGCGAGGGCTTCTCGCGGCCGCCTCCGCAGCAGAAGTTTCTCGAGACAAGGCCCCTGGCAGGGGCTTATATCGCGACCGGCGGCGAGCGACGGGAAGCCTCCAGGAGGCCCAGAAGGAGCGAGCCTCGCTGGTGAAGGCCGTTGTTGTCCCGACTGGCCCTCGTTCGAGCCTGGATCCCTCCCCCCCACCCGGGCCACGACATCTCCCAGATCGCACCAGCCCCTTGTCCTCACAGTGAAAATCCTGATAGACTTGTTCAGCAGTGCGCCGCCAGAAAAGCCTCAATGGGGGCCTCCAAGGACCGTCTCAGGGTCTTGCGTCCGTGCAGCGCGTTCTGACTGCAGTACAGTGCCGTTTTTAATACATGCTCCGCGTGCGGATCATGTATGAAAAAATGCAGGGATTTCAGTATTCAAAGCAACGATGAGTTCATGCATAAATTTATTCATCAATTAATCATGTATTCAAAATCATGTTAAAAATTCCAATGTGTGAAAAACTGCCCTGTGCTTCCGTGCGTGCCCTGGCCCTCCCAGGCCGCGCACGTGCCTCGGGGATCACGACGTGCGGGCCCCCCTCTTTGCACGCCCCCCTCGTGGGCGCCCCCCGAGAGGGCTGCCCGTGCTCTCGCGCGGCCCTCCCTCGCGCCTTCGCGCCCAGACCCCCCCCCCCTTGCCCGCAGGGAGGACGATGGGCCTCCGCCCCGCCGCCCCGCCGCAGGACGCACTCAGCCCTGTTCGCCAGGGAGTACAAATCGGTCGACCACAAGACCTGGCGCGCTCGCCCGGGCCTCCAGCTCTCCTCCTCTGGCAGCGCTCCCCCCCCCCCACCTGCCCGCCCCATCCTCGTCTCCTTCCCTCCCCACTTCCCCCTTCCTCCCCCGTCTTGGCTCCTCCTGCTCCCCCGGGGCGGCTCCCTCCCCCGTCCCCCCGGGGTGGCTCCCTCCTCCCCTCCACTGCCGGAGCCGTGCGGTGACAGGGTGCAGCGGTTGGGGAGTCGGGCAGGGCCCGAAGCGCCGGGCGGCCGCACCCTGGAACGGAGGCCCCCGCTCGGCACCTCCCCCCGTCTGGGCGTCCAGGCGGCGCCGCTCCTCCTCCTCCTCCTCCTCCTCCTCCTCCTCCTCCTCCTCCCTCCTCCTCCTCCTCCTCCTCCTCCTCCTCCTCCTCCTCCTCCTCCTCCTCCTCCTCCTCCTCCCCCCCTCTGGCCGTCCAGGTGCTGGTTGCAGCAGAGGGCCCCCCCCCCCCCTGGTCGCTGCAGGGTCGCCTGCGGTCGCCGCCCAGGCTCGCGGCCTCCTGCGGAGAGAAGCCCACGCCCGAGGGCTTCGCATGCCGCCCCGCCGGGGGGGCTCCATCCATCCGTCCTTCTCTGGTTTATCCGCTCCTACGTGCCCAGCAGCTTCTGCTTGTCTCCTCCTCCTCCCCCTCCTCCCCCTCCCTTATTTCCCCCCTCCCTGCCCTCGTCGTCACCGCTGTCTTGCTCGTGAACTCCTCCTCCTCTCCTCGATTTCGAGGGCCCCCCTCATCATGGTCGTCGTCCTCCTGGATACCTACCTCGGTGCTTTGGGAAGGGTTGTGCGTGGCCTATGCCTGCAACGTCGTCGCGCTGCACGCATATCCGAAATTACAGCCCACCCATAGATATCATCGTACGTTTTGTCGTAGTCATCAATGTCAGGATCACGGGCATGTTCTTCGTCGCCGCCGTCATATGACTATTTCGTCCCCGTATTCTTTCACCGCCGTCACCGTTAGTATTTGCACTTATTCACCGTTGCCATTTCCGTCGTCAGTATCCACCGCGTTGCCGTTACTACCACCATTGTGGTTCTCACCGCCATCATTTTCATTGTCGGCCTGCTTACCGCTTTCATGCTTGTCATCATCTCCACCAGCGTCATCCACATCGTCGTCGACATCACCATGATACCCATTACTATCAATCGCAACCACATAGTCATATACACCCAAAACATCATCATCATCCTCATCATCATCCTCATCCTCCTCCTCCTCCTCATCATCATCATCATCATCAGCATCATCACCAACATCATCATCATCATCATCATCATCATCATCATCATCATCATCATCATCATGATTCCCGGAATCATCAGTATTCACACCCTCAGCACCGTCATTTGGGTGGGGCCCGGCCAGAGGGGGCAATCTTCGAGCTGAAGTCATATCCCAAACCGCAGCCCAATCGTCGACATGTCACTGCGAGCTGGGAGTCCAGAGAACCTGAGTGCGCGCGCGCTGGGACTCCAGAGAGCAATCGCGCGCGCGAGGTGCGCGCGATGGTTACGAATAAACAAATAAGCCCATGCCGCGGCGGCTTCATTAGTTTCTTCTGGGGGCCCTGTCGGATTGATGTTGGGACCCTCTCGGGGTGGGGAGGTCATAATCTTTGACAATCGGAGCAAGAAAGAGGAACACAATCCAGGAGGAACCAGATACTGAGGAGAAGGATATCAAGAGGAGTAACCAGTAGAAGGATGTCGTTGGAAGGATTAGACGGACGATGATGAAGTCGACGACGACAAAGATGAGTCAACCATACAGCTTTCGTGGAGGTTTCGATCCGCGAGCTTCTTGGAAGCTTATTGGAGACCTCCCGGAACCATTTCGGAGCCATTGTGGAAGCCCTGTTGGCCCTCGTGGGGCTTTTCTGGTGCCCACTTTGGCCCTTTTGGGGAGACCTGGGATGCTTTTTGGGGCCATTCTTGGCCCCATTGTTCAAAAAAGGGCGTCCTACATAGCCCCCCGCCCCCCCATCGGAGGCCGATTAGGTGTCGTTCGGAGAGAATCGCGAGGAAGTCTCGAGCGGGAACTCCTCCCTATGGGGCCTGCATTCCATGTTCCCTCTTGGGGCGCTGTTGTCGGAGGTTCGTCGACCTCCCTACCCTGACACGTCGATCAAGGATTGGCCATTTTCGGTTCGCGAAGGGGCGTCGCGGCCGTCATTTTTGCGGGTCCAGGTCCGTCGGCTTCGGTCCTAGGTCGTTTTCACTCCGGGGAGGGTAATGAAAGGGAGGTTTGCCCACCGCCGAAACACATCAGTAGCACCCGAGCCGCAGCGTGCTCAGCGGTCGTCTATGGATGGACAGCTATTGGGAACCCAAACAAACGCTGGGCCGTTTTCACTAAAGGGAGGTTTACTAAAGGGAGGTTTGTCCACTGCCGATCTCGGGCGCCCTTCAGGACGTCTTGAAGTCCCCATCGGGCCCCTCTGGGGGCCACCGTGGGGCCCCAGCGGCCCATCGGAAGCCAACGGGCGGGACGTCACACCACACCGAGTGTCATTGGGCTTTTTGACGATGTTGGCCTCCTGTGGGGTGCCCTGGGAGGCTCGGAGAACACTTGGAAGCATCTTGGAGCGGTCTTGGAGCGTCTTGCCAGCATGCCAGAGGCTACCGCAAGCCATCTTGAAGGGTCTTGAGCCATCTTGCAGCACCCGGGGCGCTCTTGGAGCCATCTTTGACCAAGAAGAGCATTGACACCTCTCGCCCCTCCGTCCAGGTCCAAGCGGGGGGTAGGAGGAGGGGTGAAGACACCCTCCCCGCCCGCAAGCCGTCTCGCTAACTCTCACCCGCCCTCCAACACATCAGTAGCACCCGAGCCGCAGAGTGGTCAGCGGTCGTCTATAGATGGGTAGCTATTGTCGAAGGTTGATAGACCGCCTACCCTGACACGTCGATTAAGGAATTGGCAATTTTCGGTTCGCGAGAGGGCGTCGCGGCCGTCTTTTTTGCGGGTCCAGGTCCGTCGGTTTCGGTCCTAGGCCGTTTTCTTTCAGGGGAGGGTAATGAAAGGGAGGTTTGCCCACCGCCGAAACACATCAGTAGCACCCGAGCCGCAGCGTGCTCAGCGGTCGTCTATGGATGGACAGCTATTGGGAACCCAAACAAACGCTGGGCCGTTTTCACTAAAGGGAGGTTTACTAAAGGGAGGTTTGTCCACTGCCGATCTCGGGCGCCCTTCAGGACGTCTTGAAGTCCCCATCGGGCCCCTCTGGGGGCCACCGTGGGGCCCCAGCGGCCCATCGGAAGCCAACGGGCGGGACGTCACACCACACCGAGTGTCATTGGGCTTTTTGACGATGTTGGCCTCCTGTGGGGTGCCCTGGGAGGCTCGGAGAACACTTGGAAGCATCTTGGAGCGGTCTTGGAGCGTCTTGCCAGCATGCCAGAGGCTACCGCAAGCCATCTTGAAGGGTCTTGAGCCATCTTGCAGCACCCGGGGCGCTCTTGGAGCCATCTTTGACCAAGAAGAGCATTGACACCTCTCGCCCCTCCGTCCAGGTCCAAGCGGGGGGTAGGAGGAGGGGTGAAGACACCCTCCCCGCCCGCAAGCCGTCTCGCTAACTCTCACCCGCCCTCCAACACATCAGTAGCACCCGAGCCGCAGAGTGGTCAGCGGTCGTCTATAGATGGGTAGCTATTGTCGAAGGTTGATAGACCGCCTACCCTGACACGTCGATTAAGGAATTGGCAATTTTCGGTTCGCGAGAGGGCGTCGCGGCCGTCTTTTTTGCGGGTCCAGGTCCGTCGGTTTCGGTCCTAGGCCGTTTTCTTTCAGGGGAGGTTTACGAAAGGGAGGTTTGTCCACCGCCGAAACACATCAGTAGCACCCGAGCCGCAGCGTGCTCAGCGGTCGTCTATGGATGGACAGCTATTGGGAACCCAAACAAACGCTGGGCCGAGGTGCGCCATGCGTGCCAGGCGCGCCACGCGCGCCAGGTGCGCCAGACACCCCTGTGGCCCAAGCGTGCCTGGCACGTTTGGTGCGCCATATGATCCACGTGCACCATGTGTGCCGCATGCTCCACCCGCGCCAGGGTCGCCATGTTCGGGGCACGCGCAGAGTGTGCCAGGTGCGCCTTCGCACGTGGCAGTACACATCGGTAAACATGTCGGCCCCCACCACCCTTGTCGAAATTCAGTGCGCAATCGCGGCGGGTTGGCCACCATAGCGTCTGGTGGGCCTGCACATAGCAGGCAATCTGCCAGCACCCCCGCCTTTCCAGTCCAAAACCAATGCACAGTGATCGCGGGGTGCCCGCGCATGATCCAGAGTTTGCCTCGAAGTGCATTTTATATTGTTATTTGACAGGGATGCTGACCCTGCGCATAGCAGACAATATTCAGACACCCCCGAAGTCCCGCAAAGTGGACTTCATTTTTTTGACAGGGATGGTGCGGGTGGGGGGGTGACCTCATCGGTCCTGGTTGGCTGCCGATCGCCTGTGGGAGGGGGTGATTATCAACAGGGATCAGTGATCAAGCCGCCCACAAGCAACGAGCCGTCTCAGCAACCCCGCAGCGCGGCCTCGGACGGCTCCGATAGCAGTGCAAGTTAAGTCACGCGAGAGAGCGCTCGCGTGACGATAACGATGATTATGATGACGATGATGACGATGATGGCTATGACGACGACCATGGTGATGATAGTGATGACTATGGTATTGATGATGATGACGATGCTGATGCTGGTTGCGACGATAATGCCGAACAATAATGTGAGATGGATGAAATTGATGATAAAGTATGATGGTGATGAGGATTACAAGGTTCTGAATGGGGTCGGTGACGATGACGATGATGATGATGAGGATGATGATGATGAGGATGAGGATGAGGATGCTGATGATGATGATGATGAGGAGGATGAGTATGAGCTGCTGCTGCTGCTGCTGCTGATGATGATGATGATGATGATGATGATGATGATGATGATGATGATTGAGATCGTGATCTTGAAAGTGCTAATATACCCGGCTCCCTCTGCTCTTCGATCCGTCGGGCGCAATCACTTGTGGACCCTCTCCGGCATGCGCCAGAACTTCAGCGCGCGCGAGGCGCGCGCGATGGTTCTAGTCACATATGGCGCGAACGCACCTAGCTTGCCTTCTTTCCCTCTCCTGCTTCCCCTTCGCCCCGTTCCCCGTCCCCCCCTCCTGGTCCTCGCCTCCGCCCCAGTCCTCTTCCTCTTCCCTGTCCCCGTCCCTGCCCGTCCCTCGTCCGTGTCGTCTTACCAGCTGCCTGCGGCACGTCCCGCCATCGTGCCAGGGCCCGCGACATTTCCCGAGAGGCCCGAAGATGAGCACCCGAACGACCCCAAGCAGACTTCACGTGCCCCAAACCGCCCAACGATCGCCCCAGATCGGCCCCAGGAGCGCGAAGAGCCGCGGAACAGGGCCCCCGTATGTTCCTCCTCAGACTTCCGCCTCCGCCTCCGCTCCTCCGCTCCTCCACCTCCTCTTCCTCCTCCTTCTCCTCCTCCTCTTCCTCTCTCCACGTCTTCTCTTCCCCGCCCTCGCCTTCTCCACCTTCTCTTCCAGTCGCGCAGGGAAGGCCTCTGCCCCGAGGGGTGCTGGCTCTGGGGGCGGGGGCGTCCTGTAGGTAGCCCCCCCCGCCTGGGGACGGAACCCCGGCGGGGGAAGAAAAAGAAGGCCCCGAGGGCACGTCGGACGGACGCCCCCATCCTCATTTTTCCATCCCCCCTCTCTGTCTCTGACCTGGACCTCCCTCTTCCCCTACCCCAGTGGGTTGCGCACCTTCTTCTCCTCCTCCTCCTCCTCCTCCTCCTCCTCCTCCTCCTCCTCCTCCTCCTCCTCCTCCTCCTCCTCCCCTGCGCCTCCCCCCCTCCCGAGATAGAGAGAGAGAGAGAGAGAGAGCGGCTCTGACCCTCGTTGTCACTTCGTCTGCCCCACACACTGTGGCCTGGAGTGCGGCCTTGCCACCGTTGTAGTCCGGTTTGCCCCCTCGCGCCGTGTGCTTCACTTTGGTTGGCTCCTCGATGTGTGACCTGGAGGGCGCACAATCCATCGATGTTCAGAGGAGGTGTTCAGGGCAGGAAGTGGTACCGCCACCCGCACCCTTTCCCCGTTTTCGCCCTTTTGGGGGCCTCTCGTGAGGCCCTCGTCGCTGCGGCGAGCCGTCTCGACACAGCAGGCAGCAGATGGCAGGCGTTGGCAAGGGAGGCGTTGGAGCCAGGGGGGGGCAGGGAGGAGCGCGGCGGGGGGGCCGCAGGTGCCAGTACCTCGGTCTGCACGCCGATATGGGCAAGCGCGCGCAGGCACGCCCTTGGATGAAGTCGGGCCTGTCCCTCTACAGGGGGAATGTCCAAAAATAGTCAAAGAATAGTGAGGCGATTTTTTTGGAGTATTTTTGGGCACCTTTTGAGTACTTTTTGAGTATTATATTTTGTTCGTCCCAAATCCTGTAGGGGGACATGCCCGACCTAACCTTTGGACAGACGGAGGGTGCAGGAAGGCAACGAGGAAGCAACGAGAAGACGACTGTCTGGTCGCAGGGATTGCGAGGATACCGCTGATGACGCCGAGGGCCACTAGGGTTTAGGTGCTGGTGATCATGACGATCACGATGACGGCGGCCACAGCGATGATGGATGTGATATTCGACGCGGGAGCGCTGATGTGCCTGCCAGTCGAACTGTAACGAAACGAACAGCGGCACTGACGTAGGCGGTTCCTACGATGATGACAACGACCACTACTTCGGCGGTGACGACGCCGACGAAGATGCCAACGATCGACCGGCGGGTCGGCGATGGTCACGGCGGCGATGGCACGGAACGGGAACGCCGACGACAGAGCCAATGTAGAGGCGGACGATGCCAGTTGTGGTGGTGATAGTGCTGACGCGGAGGATGAGTCGGAGGAGGAGTAGCAAGGATTGGAGCAAGATCATGAGGAGGATGTGCGGCATGATAACAGAGCGGTCAGAGCGATACCGGGAGAGCGTGCACCAACCAGCGATGGAGGAGCACGATGGAGGAGGACGAGGAGGAGGAAGAGGATAGTTCCTGACGCTTCGTGTATCCCCACCAGGGAGTGCGCCTTGCAGCTAATTAGGCTTGCCCGTCGGCCCGGACACCCTGCTCGCCGCCTGCGCTTTCGCTTGCGGCTGCGACCAAAAAAGTATCCCCACCAGCTTTACCCAGGACTTCGTGTGAAGAACAACGGCAAGCTGGTGCCAGTGGCGGGTTTATTGAGGTAAGCTTCGATACAGAGCGCCTGGCGTGCGCGTCAGTGTACACAGGGCCATGGTGAGCTCTCCTCCTTCTTCTCCTTTTGCTTCAGCGGTTAGCTGACTCTCCCTCTCCTGTTTCACTGGGATCTTCCCTCGCGGCTGGGGTTGCCGCCAATACTGCTGCCGGATGGTGCTCCGTCAGCTTGGATCTCACGCACAGTTTCACACCAGGAGTGGGCGGCGAGGTGTCCACTGGCTGCCGTAGGCCGGTGCCCCCCCCCCTGCTGATGGCCGAAAGGGTCCAGTGGGGTTTCGATACGCTGCTGACAGTTACGGTGCAAGGACTTCGTGTTCGGCAAGTGTCGTTATGAACGCTCACCTTCCACTGGAGCTTATTTGGCACAGTCAGGGTTGGCATAGCCATGGCTGGCACAGTCAGGTTCGGCATAGTCAGCGCGGACAAGAATGGCACAACCACAATTGGCACAGTCAGCATCAACTGCTCGAGTATCTCTTTCTTCCCCCCCTTTCACACCGTGTGCCGGGCGTGCACTTCCTTCCCTCCCCTCCTGCATCCTAATGCTGCAGCGGTTAGCTGCCATACCGGGGTGCCTACCGTGCCTGGCGTGCACTTCCCCTCCTCTCCTCCTGCATCCTTATGCCACAGCGGTTAGCTGTTGCACTGGGGTGCTCTCCCTCCTGTTTCACAGGGTTCTTCCCTGGCTGCTGGGGTTGCTGCCCAATACTGCCTCCTGATGGCGCTCAGGTGGCCCGGGGTTCATACAAGGATTCACAGAGGGAATGGTGCTGCGTCGCATTCGCAGGTCAGGTGCCCCTGGCCTGCTTCTGGCTGGTGTCGGCCCCTACTTGTGACCGGAAGGTTCCAGTGGGTCTCTCGCTACGCTGCCTACCTTACGGTACCTGGACCTCGGGTTCGGCAAGTGTGGCTCTGTACGCTCGTTGGCCGACGTGCGTGGACTTCGCTTGCGACAAGTGTTGCAGGTTTTACTGCCGTTTGCACTCTTGTCGGGGATGAGGTTGCCCCTCTTCACTATTGTTCCGTCACGATGTTTTGGCATTTGTCTGCCTACTTCACGGATGTCGTCTGGGTGTGCCTGTCGGTCTAGTTTGTCTCTGACGGTGCTGTTTGACACACCGAGCGATCGACCTCTGCGTGTTTATGGTCGCGCCGCCGCGCCATTTTGGCTGCGCTTACTTGCTGGTCGCCACCGGGATTTTCAACGCCACCGGGTTTGGGAGTATCGGTTCTGGCTCTCCTTCTGGGTGGCTGCCCGCTCGCTCGCTTCGCTTGCCTTTCTATTCCTGCTGCCTGGTCGCGGCCCCCGACTCGTGTTCGGACGGCTTTCGACCCGGTTCGCGAGCTTGTTGACCAACGAGTATCCCCACCACCCCGCCAAAGGCAGTCGCCAGGGGAGTTGCCCTGATGAGGAAGGTGTAGCAGCATGCAGTGGAGCGCAGATTCAGAGATCTTTATTAACTTGTCTGGGAACTTTGGAAGGGTTGTGTGGGGGGTCAGCAGGGGGGGCGGTGGGGGGGTGGATTGGGGGGGGGGATAGATGGGTTGGGTGGGGTAGACGTGTGGAGGGGGTGTGGAAGCGAGGGGGAGGAGGGGGTGGAGGGATGGTGGTGGAAGGTCTTACCCCTGACGCCCCCTTGAGATCCATAGGGGGGGGGGGGGGCAAGGGGGAGGGGGATCCCCTCCCCCGACGGGGAAGAGGGGCGTTAGCAGAACGAGCTCGCTTTACCATTCACGCCCAGAAGGCTGGTGGGATTCTGACAAGTATGATAGTGAAGAAGATGAGGAAAAGAGCGAGGAGTATCGGGGGGCGCCATTGACTCTGTCGCCCTGCGATGGTGGCGATCATGGTGATGACGTTCTTTGTGTCGGTGATTTTGATCAATCTTCTTAGGAATTGTGCGCACCGAAGCAGGGATCCCACAAGAGGACGAGGCCCCGCGCCCCCGCCACCTCCCAGACGCCAACACGGAGGCGGGACCAACCCACTGTGCCGCCCAGGGAGGGGAGAGCGGGATTCGGATCGGTGCCTGCGTGCACGCCCGTCCACAGCAGCAAGCAAGTCTTTCGACAGCCTGTTCGCAATCGTGCGCTGCACGACGTGGAAATTATGCCTAATGTCGTCATTTCTTGTTCTTCCAGGCCACTATTCATCTCATGCGCTGACGTATGACATGCCGATTCGTGTAGTTTTCCAGGTTTACTGGCGATCTTCAATTTCACGCAATTGTGCTAGTCACGCCGTGAGGAGGTTCAGTGGTCGCGCGCTCCTCCTCTCCCCTTCTTCCAGAGAAGGAAACGAAGTCGACAGGATGTCAATCTCAACGACGTTGGCTGATGGTGCACCTACCGCGGTGTGCGCTTCGGAGGGCCCAGCGGCGGCCAACGATCCCCCCTGGCATCCTCGCGTCGTGCAGGCATCGCGAGGATAGGTCTCCGGCCGTTCCGGCGTCCGGGGGCCCTTTACCGGGGCCCAGGGCAGTCAAAAACGTTTTCAGGATGAGAAGCTGGTCTCGAGGAGGGGGTCCAGACCTCTGGAGAGCCACGCTGTGAAAAATCACGACGTCGGATGCTTCGCTTACCTGAAGTCGGAGCGGCGGGTGCACCCTTGGCTAGCGCCGTTGCTCAGTCTGGGCGCGCGGCAATCCAGAGGGAGTGTTGTCGCTTATCCCAAGCCAGAGCCGCCGACAGCGGGTGAGAGTGGGCTGAAACCGAAGCCTCTGCACATCCAGGAGAGGGGGGCCCGGCGAGGGCCCCCAGAGTTATGATGTTCCAACCTACTTTAGCCTTGATCACCAGACAGAGCTTCGAGCACCAGGAAAATACCGAAATTGGACGCTCTTCACGCGTCGGTCCCTGGGAGGCGACGTCGCTCGACACCTTCTCGCCCGCGCGTCGGGCAGACACCGCCTCGATCCCCCCGTGGGTGCTCGACACTGCTTTCTCCTGGGGATGGGGCCCCGGAGAGTGTGACGGACGCAGCGCAGCCCCCGGGGCCGAAGGTGCCAAGACGGGCCTCCCGTCGTGGTTTCTGCGCGGCGCCTTTCGCGGGGCGCTGCGCCGCGGGCCCCCGCCGGGGCCCCGCTGGCGCCCGCGCCCGCGCGCGGCAGGGCCTGCCGCGCCGCCCGCCCGCCAGGTGACCCGGGACAGCACCTCCAAGCACGTGGGGCAGGCGGCTGCCGCGGGGCGGGCGCGGCCGGTCCCTTCTCCTCCTCTTCCTGCTCCTCCTCCCTCGCTCCTCCTCCTCCTCCTCCTCCTCCTCTCCTTCTCTCCTCTCCTCTCCTCTCCTGTCCTGTCCTGTCCTGTCCTCGCCTCGCCTCGCCTCTCCTCTCCTCTCCTCTCCTGTCGTGTTCTCTCCCCTCCTCTCCTCTCCTCTCTTCTCCTCTGTTCTCCTCTCCTCTCCTCTCCGCTCCGCTCCTCTCCTCTCCTTTCCTCTCCTCTTCTCTCCTCTCCTCCTCCTCTCCTCCTCCTCTCCTCCTCCCGTCCTTCCCCTCCTTCTGCTCCTCCCCCCCCTCCCTCCTTCCTTGTCCCTCCCGCCTGCTTCCTTGGCATCTTCCCCCGCCCCCCCCCGCCCCCAGGCGAGCGACGCTCTGTCCACGCCCCTGCTGCTCACGCCCGCACCCCGTGAGGGCCACCGAGTGGGGGCACGGACGAGCGTCCGACCTCTGGTTGCCGATCTTCTGCTTGCTCCCTTTTGGCGCCCATAGCTCACCACCCACCAGGCCACCCCAACCCAACCCGAAAGCCCCCATTTGCCCTCCATTCCCAGTGGAGGGGGGCGTCGGGGAACATTCACAAACACAGATGGAACCCGTTCACCCCCCAACCCGAAATTGGTGTCGTCGGGTCAGTGTGAGCTGGTAGGTAGTCAAGAGCGCGAGGCATCACCGGGGCTGTGGATGGAGCGCCCATCGCCGGTCCTCCGCCGCTCTTCGTCCTCCGCTCCCTCCGACGTCCGTTTTGAGGACCTGCCCACCCAGCAGATCTGCTCGGCTCCAGCTCCCTCTGCCCCAGCCGGACTCACGCTCGACTCTCCAGTTCGACCCCAGTTCGACTCGAGGCGGCGGACGCTCGCCGCAGCATCGACGCACGCGTGGGGCGAGTGGCTCCAGGAGGCTCCCCAGAACGAGCATCCGACCCCCCTTCCGTCCGACTCTGCTCCCTCTGCGCCCTGCGTCCTTCCTCCCTGATCCCCTGCCCCTCCTCCCTTGGCTTCGCAGCCCGGCAGAAACCTCGGGGCGGCGTTTCTTGTTGTTTCGTTTTGTTTGTTTGTTGTTTTCGCTGTGTGTTGTTTTGTTTGTTTGTTGTTCGGATGTGTTCTAAAGGTTCTCGGCCTTTTTGGGGAGGAGGCGGGGAGGAGGATGAGGGAGGAGGGAAGGAGAAGGGCGAGTCGGAGTCGGAGGAGGAGGAGGAGGGGGAGGAGAAGGAGCAGGAGGAGGAGGAGGAGGAGGAGGAGGAGGAGGAGGAGGAGGAGGAGGAGGAGGAGGAGGAGGAGGAGGAGGAGGAGGAGGAGGAGGAGGAGGAGGAGTGGGAGGAGTGGGAGGAGGAGGAGGAGGAGGATGCGTAGAATGAGGACTGGCAGCTGCGATCAAGGATGAAAAGCAGCCCCGCCCCGTGGAACAGGTCGAGAGGTCCGAGGGATCCCACGCCTGGAAGAAATTCTCCCGCCGGATGCCCAGGTCCCTCCACCCTCTGTCATCTCTCCTTCCCTCTCTCTCTCTCCATGTCTTTCTCCCCTCCTTCCTCCCTCCCTCCCCCCCTCCCTCTCTCCCTCCCTGCCCCCGTCCTCCGTCCTCCGTCCGCCCTTCTCGCTCTTCCTTTTCGTCCTCTACAACTGCTCAATCAGAATACCACTCTTCCTTATCCCCAGACTCTGTGTGGAAGGTGTCCCGCCCCCTCCGTGTTTTGCTTGCCCATTTTCATTGTTTTTCCCAACCAACCTGTGTTGTTGGGTCCTCGTTTTGAAGAGACGGTCCCCGCGTTCCTCCTCCTCTCCTCTCCTCCTCTGCCCCCTCCTCCTCTCCACCGTCCGCATGCGTCCCCCCACCCAGTACAGCGTTTCGTAGCCCCATAGGGAGCTCCACCGAAGGCCCCAGTGCCACCGTCCACATGCGTCACCCCCACCCACTTCGGCACACCCCTCACACGTTTCGTGGCCCCATAGGGAGCCCCACCAAAGGCCCCCGTGCCACCGTCCACATGCGCCACCCCCACCCACTTCGGCACACCCCTCACACGTTTCGTGGCCCCATAGGGAGCTCCACCGAAGGCCCCAGTGCCACCGCCCACATGCGTCACCCCACCCACTTGGCACACCCCTCACACGTTTCGTGGCCCCATAGGGAGCCCCACCGAAGGCCCCAGTGCCACCGTCCACATGCGTCACCCCCACCCACTTCGGCACACCCCTCACACGTTTCGTGGCCCCATAGGGAGCTCCACCGAAGGCCCCAGTGCCACCGTCCACATGCGTCACCCCCACCCACTTCGGCACACCCCTCACACGTTTCGTGGCCCCATAGGGAGCTCCACCGAAGGCCCCAGTGCCACCGTCCACATGCGTCCCCCCACCCACTTCGGCACACCCCTCACACGTTTCGTGGCCCCATAGGGAGCTCCACCGAAGGCCCCAGTGCCACCGTCCACATGCGTCACCCCCACCCACTTCGGCACACCCCTCACACGTTTCGTGGCCCCATAGGGAGCTCCACCGAAGATGATATTCACAACTGCGCTACTCACAACTGCATATGGTTGTGTCATTCGCCAGGCTAATTTTCCATTCGGTTCGCTCTGAATGTTTCAAAGTGGTGCTCCCAGGCGAGGCGAGGCGATCAAGGAAGATGGGGGGGGGGGCACAAGGGAAGATGGGGAGATGGAG